TGAGCAGGGCCGGGAGTCCCCAGCTCGGGGCTTTTTGTGCCTCGGCGCAGGCACTCGGCACCCAGAGACCCCAAACCGCGGGGGGCTGCCTGCAAAGCGCGCCGGCTCGGGTCCTCCCTGCCAACAACCACCTCCTCCCCTTGGGCAGACCGAGTGCGCCAACTTCATCCGCTTGCTGCAGCCCTACAACAGCAGCCACGTGTTCGCCTGCGGGACGGGCTCCTACCAGCCCGTCTGCGCCTTCGTCCAGCTGGGAGCCCGCGGCAAGGTGAGCGGCACCCAGAGGGACCCAGTCCCCTCGAGGCTCCCTCCTCCATCAGCTGGTGGAGCTGATGTATCCCCCTGGGCTCTGGCAGGGCGCCCTGATGCGGCTGGTGACCCACTCCCTGCAGTCGGGGCGAGGACGGTGCCCCTACAGCCCCCGGCAGCCCTTCACCGCGCTCCTTGTTGGTAAGGGCTGGGGGAGCCGGGAGCTGGGGCTCCTTGGGGACGCGGCATGCGGGGGGCTGCACCTCCAGCTCCTCCACGTGCCCCCCGCTGACCCCGCAGATGGGGAGCTGTATTCGGGCACCTCCAGCGACTTCATGGGCAGCAGCGCCGCCTTCTTCCGGACCTGGGTGCGCGGGGCCGAGCAGAGCTACATCCGCACGGAGCAGAACCAGGACCACTGGCTGCACGGTACGAGGGGGGCCATGCTCGGCACGATGCCCTGCTCCCATCTCCTCCCCCGTGGCATGGGCATGCCTGCACGGGGTGCTAGCACGCCGTCGCTTCCAGAGCCTGCGTTTGTGGGTGCCTTTGCCATCCCCGACACCTACAACCCGCACGATGACAAGGTCTACGTCTTCTTCCGCGAGACGGCGCTGGAGGCTGGGCAGTGGGACAGGCGGCACATCCATGCGAGGGTGGCCCGGGTCTGCAAGGTCAGTGGGCTCAGGCTGGGATCACACAGGGCAAGCTTTGCCCCCTTGCCGGACACACGGGGAGCGCTGCCTTGTGAAAAGCCACTGTCCCTCTCTTAGGGTTGGGCTGGGGGCTTCCAGAGGTCCCTTCCAACCTTAACCACCCCGTGCTGGTTTGGTGAGCAGGAGCCTGGTTCCCACCTCTGCCTGTGCTTTGCTGCATGGCAGTGAGAAAGCCCCAAGTCCCCTGCCCCACTCAGCAGCTCCCCAGACACCTTCCCACCCCCGGTACCCCACAGCGGGGCGAGGAGCAAGGCTGGGGCTGTCACTGCGGGGGGCTCGGGTGTCCCGCTGCGGGGACAGCCGTGGGGGTGTGTTGGCGGGGCTGGGCTGGGTGCAGCTCTCGTTGCCCGGCAGAACGACGTCGGAGGGAAGCGCAGCCTCATCAACCGCTGGAGCACGTTCCTCAAGGCCCGCCTGGTGTGCTCCATCCCGGGGCCGCAGGGCACCCAGACGCACTTTGACCAGCTGGGTGAGTGGCTGCCTGCCCCAGCCGCCTGGCCGGGAACCCCCCCCTGCACCTCTGGCTCCAGCTCCACCCCTCTCTTTGCAGAGGATGTTTTCCTCCTCCGCACCCGGGACCCTCAGAACCCCCTCATCTTCGGCCTCTTCACGGTGTCCAGGTGAGCCCGTGCCCAGGCACGGGGCAGCCCAGCACCCCCAGCCCCTCTCCCTGCGGTGGGTTGGGTTCGCTGACGGCCGCCCCGCAGCGGTGTCTTCAGCGGCTCCGCCGTCTGCGTCTACTCCATGGCTGCCATCAGGGCGGCCTTCAGCGGCCCCTTCGCGCACAAGGAGGGCTTCGACTACCGCTGGGTGGAATACAAGGGACGCGTCCCCTACCCCCGGCCCGGCATGGTGAGGAGCTGGGAGGGCAGTGGGTAGCGGCAGGAGGGGTCAGCCCGGCGGTGACCCGGCCCCTCGTGTCGCCTCAGTGCCCCAGCGAGACCTACGACCCCCTCCTGCGCTCCACCAAGGATTTCCCTGATGAGGTGATCAGCTTCGTGCGCTCCCACCAGCTGATGTGGGAGCCCGTGCAGCCGCAGGGCCGCCAGCCCGTCCTGGTGAGGGTCAACGTTCCCTACCGGCTCCGGCGGCTCCTGGTGCACCGGCTGGAGACGGAGAGCCGGCACTACGATGTGCTCTTCCTCGGCACGGGTAGGGCATCAGCCCGGCTCTGGGGTTGGGGTCGTCACAGGGTGGCTGGGTGGCAGGAGTGTCCCCCAGCCCCAGGGAGCCCGGCCCCACCAGCTCCTTCTCCCACTGTGTTTGGCAGATGAGGGGAAAGTTCTGAAGGTGGGGCTGGCCAGCGGCACCGAGGTGATTAACCTGGAGGAGATCAGCGTCTCTAAGGTACCACAGAGAGCGGGTGCATGAGGAGGTGGGAGCAGGGACCCCGGCCCTCAGCCTCGCTGGAACCTCTTCCTCTCTTCCAGGCACCTTCTCCCATCCTGGACATGAAGCTGTCACCGAAGCGGGTGAGTCCTCCCTCACACCGGTACCTAAAGGGACGGGGTACTCGCTCCATCCTCAGCATCCCTTGGCCCCAGGGCTTGCACGTGTTGGGGTCCTGCTCCCACCAAGCAGCCTGCTGGTGGCTGGCTCTGTCCCTCTGTCCCCACACCTCCCGGCAGCCTCAGCCCGGCACAGTGCTGAGCGCTGCCGTTCTGCTTGCCCGAGCAGCAGGAGCTGTTGGTGAGCAGCACCCAGGGGCTGTTCCAGCTCGCCCTGTACCGCTGCGAGCTCTACGGCAAAACCTGCACGGATTGCTGCCTGGCCAGGGACCCCTACTGCACCTGGGACGGCAAGACCTGCGCCCCGCACCAGCTGACAGAGAAGAGGTGAGCACCCGCTGGGGCCACCCCGCTCAGGGGCAGCCTGCAGACAGTGGTGGGTGCCTCCACTTGGTGCCACCGTGGTCCTGTCCACCCTCCCACAGGCGTGCCCGGTGCCAGGACGTGCTGAAGCCCGATGTGCTCAGCCAGTGCCAGGATACAGCAGAAGGTGAGCACCAGCCCCAGGGTGATGCTGGGACGAGCGGGCAGCAGGGCACCGGGAAAGCCCCCGGCACCCTCTGTCATCGCCCCTGCACCGGGTGCCGCGCTCTGACCCTGTCTCATCCCCGTGCAGGGACAGCGGTGGCCACGGAGAAGCTGGTTTTCGGCGTGGAGAAGAACTCCACCTTCCTGGAGTGCCTGGCACGCTCCCCACAGACAACGATCCGGTGGCTGGCGTGGCGTGGCGAGGGGTCGGGGCTGAGCGAGGTGCAGGGAGGACAGGGAGGGGGCGCGGGGCGGCTTGGGGACGGTGACCTGAATCTTCCCGTGCACCAGATCAGGACCGGCGGCCACTTCGCGGTGCTGGAGCAGGGGCTGCTGATCCGCCAGCTGGGCAGGGAGGATGCCGGCACCTATGAGTGCCAGGCCGTGGAGCGCTCCTTCTCCCGGCCCCTCACCCGCTACAGCCTCCGCGTCATCCAGCACGAAGCGATGGAGGTGCCGCCGTACCGACGCAGCAAGGGGGTCGAGGGCCCCCGGATGGACCCGCGAGCCTTGGGGGCACCGGGCACCAGCCTTGACACCTACTGCAATGCCCTGTGGCACCAGGAAAGGCAGCGGCAGAAGGCCTGGCACCAGAAGTGGCAGCACCGCTCCCCGGAGAGCAAGAGCGGCCGCGTGCGCCGGCAGCCCCAGGCGCTGTAGGGGTGAGCCGGGGCCGCCTGCTCTCTCTCTCGGCCCTTCTCGCAGGCGGGTGCCAGCTTTGGGACTGCTCCATGCGTCCAACCGCAGGAACTGCGACTACCTCAAGCCACGCCGGGCCCCTCCGCCTCTGCGCGCATCCCAGGGTGCACGACGGGGTGAGGGCACGCGGCCTGGACCAGCTCTCCCAGACACGAAGCCTCGGGCGCCCTGCAGAGTATTTATTCTCCTCGGTTTTCTCCAGCCCTTAGGGGTGATGGTTATTAGCAGCAGTGATGAAGATGGGGGGCGGGAATGGAAACAAACCATTCTGTACCTGGCCACGGTCACAGGTCCCCGGACCCCGTGTCATCCCCAGCGCCTGCGCCCAGCCCCACCCACCCCAGCCCAGGCTGCTTTTACAAATTCCAGACAGAGAAACAGGCAGTTATACCAACTTACAATTTATTATTTTTTAAAAAAATGACATGAAACACAAGTAAAAATAAATACATCATATAAACAACAAATTGTTCAAAGTCTCTGCTCTGGGAGATCAGGCAAGCACGTCCCGTTCGACAGAGAGAAGAGGGAAGCACATGGTCATGCGTGGGGCACCGACCCACCCACCCTGCTAGAGACACTCCTCTTGCCAACCACAAAAAGACCGTCCACAAACTAAGGCGGTAGTAAAAAAAAAAAAAAAAAAAAAAAAAAAAAAAGAAAAGCCATAATAGTAACAACCCCAAAACAACAGGAAAAAAACAAAAACAAAAACAAAATGAGACTCATCGATGGATTCATTCAGGCTCCCCCCGCAGGTGCGGATCTGCCGGAGGCTCCAAGCTGGACGCTGTTGCCCCGTGGAAGGGGCCGTGTTCTCCCCTCGAGATGCAAGGAGCCCTCATCCCCACTGAAATCTAGCTGGACTACGTTCCCCTCGAGATCTCTCCCCCACCCCACCCGTCCCTCCCTGTCCTCCCAAGCCCGGATTAACAAAATTCATCTGAGCGCGGCACGGAACGCCAGTCGCGGAGGCGTTTGCTGTACCTGTCCCTTTCGGCCTGGAGCCCATCCACAAACCGAGAGTGATTCTCTGGGGTTCAGCTGACATCATTAGGCCAAAATATAACCATTTCTAGTGAAGCTCCCTTTGCTTGCTGCAGTATTTTCCTTTCTGTGCCTGCCCATATCCACCCCACCGGCATCCCAGCAGATCCTGCCCTGCGTGGGCTGCTCTGGGCTGCGTTGCCCCCACCCCACCCCATCCATGGGCCAACCCCTCCCCGCTGGGGCTGACTGGGCCACCCCGGGTCTTCCTCAGCTTCCAAAAAACTTTGGCAGAGTGTCCTGCACTGCTGTCCTCAGCACCACCCGCAGCCCTGCTGCGCGCCGGCAGCCGCTTCCAGCCGGTCATTTGGAGACAGAAATTCAGCAGCAAAAAGAAAAAAAAAAAAGGAAGATCTAAGCTGTGAGGGGAAAGCCCCCGTTCCAGGACAGGACCCTCTGCAGCAGAACCACGCGTTAGGGATGGGAGAAGGGTGGGGAGGGGAGAGGAGACCCATGGGAGAGGAGATGTAAGGGCTCGGAGAGGTCCCCTGCTGCAGGAACGCCCTGGATGATCCCCACGGAGAGCGAGGAGCAGCCCCAGGGCCCCTCACCCAGGGGTGGCAGCCACCTCCTGGCCAAGGCTCTGATGGCTGCAGGGGACCTGTCCCCTCTCCACAAGGGCGCCGTGGGCTGGCAGGGAGCAGGAGGGGGCACAGGGCCCTGCTGTGCTCGGCTGGGCAGCGGGGGCTCACGGCAGGCACTTGGCCAGCGGGGCACCCGGTGCTTGACACAGGGAGGCCACCAGCAGAGCGGCCACCTGGTGGCACCCAGCCTGCTCCCTGCGGGCTACGGCCACCTCCAGCACCCACGGGTGTGCCAGGGACATCTCTGTGCCCTGCTGCAGTGCAGGGCTGCAGAAAAGCCCCATTGGGAGGCTTCCCCCAGAGGAACTCTGCTATACTGACCAGCGCCGCGGAGCTGGGCTGCAGCAGGGTGCCGGTGCCAGTCTGCTCCCACTCCGGCCTCCTCCGGGTCCTGCTCACAAGCCCGCTGGTCTCACCCCTGGCTATTCTGGCCAAGGAAAGCCCTCGCCTCTGCCCCCTTCCCCCAAATCCACCGGCAATCTGACAGCCTCACAGGGATGCAACGGACATCTGGGCGAACTCGTCATACAATCAGTGGCACAGGATTGCGCATGAGGGGGACACACAGAGCACAGGAGGGCATGACTCACAGATGCAGCACTGTCAAGTCTTTGGAGAAACTTGCATGAACACCATCAGTTAATTTGCTTTGTTACTTTTGTGGGGGGGTTTGATTTTTATTTCCATGGTGCATCCAAAGACAAGTTGTCCAGCAGTTTGCTCAGAACCCCTCGGTTTTCAACTCCTAGGATATGTTAAAGAAGAAAGCACTATTTTAATGTTTGTCTTTTTTTAAAAAAATAATTAAAATAATTTGCATAGCTAAACTGTTGATCTAAGGCTTCTATGAATGGTGTGGTTATGTTCGACAGACAATGTCCATTAAACAGAGAAAGACACTAGGAAAGCCCTGGAACGTTTTTTTATTGTCGTTGTGACACACGAGCACACACACAGCCCCTTGCTCTCTCTTTCTCTCTCAAGAGGGGAGGTCTCCAGCTCACCGTTGGTGAAGGATGACAGGACATCCTGCCCTTCCCTACCTGGTCCCAGCAGGTATCAGTGACTGCTGCTTTCACAGCAGGCCCTTAGAAGCTGCCCCTGCTCCAAGATCCCAGCCCTGCTCTGGGGCAGGCCCCCAAGGCGCAGACCCGGCCTGGTGACAGCCAGATGGGGACAAAGAGGGTCCCGGACTGCAGGGCCCCATCCCGGGGCGTTCACCCCCCACACACATCCAGCTGTGCTCATGGGACCTGCATGGAGCTGCCTCTCCTCCAGAGCCCTGGCACGGAGAGGAGCAGCCTGCGTGCTCGCTGTCAGTGCCAGGGCCAACCCTTCCTCACGCCCTCCTCCTCCTCACCAGGACCAAGCACAAGAAGCTCCCACACGTGCTCCTCCACCTGCCCTGACACAGCGAGGGGACTCTGTCCTCCCTCCTGCTGCTCCCCAGCAGCAGAGGGGAGCTCCTGGGGGTGCTACAGGGAGCTGCCGCGGCTGTGCTCTGGGCAGCTGGCTGCTTCTCCCCACACAGACAACCCGACGAGCAACCACTGCAGGACAGAGGCCAACATTTTATTATTATTATTTTTTTTTTAATATGGAAATTAATTTAAAAATCGAAGGAAAGAGCCCCCCCAACAATAAATATTATGCCTTGGCGTAATAAATTAAGGTAGAGGTTCTGTGCAGGGGGAAGTTGCTCCAATCAGAGTCACCAGCAAGGGGCACTGGGGCCAGAACCACGTCCCATCCCAACCTCCTCTGGTGCCTGGTGCTGTTCAGAAGGAGCAGCAAGCCCAGCAACCCCCGGATGCACTGGGTCATGGAGCTGGGGGAGTCACCAGGATTCCCCTCCAGTGGCCACCACCAGGTCTGGCTTGGCTCTGCTGCTTGGGTGGGACCCACAGGGGCCCGGGGAGCCCTCACTCAAGTTTCATGTGAATTTGATAGAAGTTGACAAATTGTTGGTGGGGTGATTTTTTTTTTTCCTTTTTTTTTTTTTTTTTGGTAAAAAACATCAATCCCTCCCCCTTCCCCCCCCCCCAACACACACAATGTAAAGTCCCCCCTCTCCCTCCCCAGTAAAAATGCTTCGCCCCCAACCTCTGCTGGAGTCACTGCCCCCGGCCCGCCCCTCCCCAAGTGAGAGAAGTTCACAGATAAGGCAGTTTGTGTGAGGAGGAGCTCAGCCCTGCCAGCGGTCAAGCCCGTGCCTCCAGGCCTGCGAAGGGCAGGGACTCGTGGCACCAAGCCTCCCCCTTTCAGACAAGACAGAACAGAGACAGACAGACAGACAGAGCGTGGGAGGGAGGCACTCCTATGGTCTGCGTTACTGCTTCCCTCCTCCCCTGGCTCTTGCTCCCCCCGGCCCTCGCAGGTCCGCTCTACGCCCCCCACCCATCTCCCAGCTCCCAGTACAATTCAGATCCTTGACAGCTAAAAAACAAACAAACCAACAAAACAAAACGAAAAGAAAACAAACACCACGCCACACCCTTCGCATCCTTCTCCACCCACTGCTGTGGCCCAGAGGGGAAATCCTGACTCCCAAGAAGGTCCTGCAACTTTTTTTGCCTCCTGGTGGAGCTGAGACCGAGCAGGAGCCAGGCCCATTATTTCCCTGTGATCTCTATAACATCGTCGTCTTTGTCCTCGTCATTAGAGCTGCATCCCACCTCTGGGACCTCCTGGGGTTCAAACTGAGGCACCTGGGACCGAAGGAGGCCCCCGGCCGGGTAGCCCGAGTGAGGGGACACGTAGCCAGGGTAGGCAGATGCCATGCTCCTGGGAAGGCTGCTAGGCAAGATGGGGGCTGGGAAAGGAGCAAACATCCTGGGCTCGGGCAGGAGTGACTGCGTGAAGGGAAGCGAGTAACTGGGCAGCACCCCTGTCAGAGAAGGGTTTAGCATGAACGAGGGGACGCTGGCGGTGACTGAGGTAGCAGCAGAAGAGCTGGCGGTGCCGGCTGTCAGCAGAGGGTCAGTAGTCACAGGGAACACCAGATGAGGGTCTGGGAGTAAATTGGACAGCTGGTAGTAAGAGGACCCAGTGCCCATGTACAAGGAGTTTCCTGGTTGGGAGGCAAACGGATGGGTTAGGTTGTGGTTTAAAGAGACAGGAGGCATGGCGAACCCACCAGAGACAGGGTACCCGTGTTCATACGGCTGCACGGATGATGGCAACTGGCGCTTTTTCTGCTGCCTGAGGGCTTGCTCCTCCGGAGCCGACGGCGAGCTTGACTTGCGCTTGTTGCCCCGTAAGTCCAACACCGAGTGGGCATCCGCGTGCTGGCTGCTGGCCGGCAAGGCTGAAGACACGGAGGGAGCCATGCAGTGAATCCCAGCACGCTGCTCGGCTCCTCGAGCTGCTAGGCCAGGCGCGTTGTCCGTGCGGGCAGGGTGGCCTTGGGCAGCGTTGGTGCTGGGAGAGCTGTGCCGGGACTCCCGGGCTGCCGCGGCCTCTGCGTACTGCTGCAGCTCGCTGATGATCTCGGGGCTGTCGGGGGATATGGGCCGAGTGAGCTCCTCCGCGCTGGGGAGCTGTGGTGATGAGGCACTGTGACTGCCGTTGCTCGCGGACTCCAGCGACGAGCTCTGGGAGCCTGGAAGCAAGGAGGTGGAGGAGGTGAAACACAGCCTTGGAGGAAAAGCTGGGGGCTGAGAGGCAGTGATGGGAAGATTGTGGGTCAGGTCTGAACACGGGACCAATGGAAGGCAGCCAGGGAACAGCACATCCCGAACACTCGGGCATGAAAGCACGTGAGCAAGCCCCTACCTGAGGCAGCTGTCCGACGATCTTCATTGCCCTTGGGCTTCCCAGTGGTCCGGATAGCAAAAATCCGCCCGTCGCTGGTCCGGATGTACGTCCCTGGAACAGAGGCAGAACAACTTCATTCAGGGTTTCTGGTCTCAGCTTAGGACCCTGGGTCGGTGAGCCAGCGAGGCTGCCTGGGCAAGAACAGGACAGCAGTGTTGCATAAGGCCAGGCCCACAGAACACGTAGGAAGATCACTGGGAGGCTTCTGCCCCCTTCCCCACTCCCCATTTCCTCCTTTTTCAGCTTTCCTGGGTTGAAGCTCACCCACACCCAACATGCTGCCAGTGGGGAATGTGGAGCTTCATGCTGGAGCTACGTTTGTTGTGGGAGCACTGGGAAAAGTGTTTGGCTGCCCCAGAACATGCAATGGGTGTTGTGAGAACAAGAAGCCCAGTAACAAAGTCCAACGGCTCCTTTCAGAGGCAGAAGCAGCCACAGCTGCAATAGCCCTGAAGCATCAGCTACAGGAGCACACCATGGGCTGCAAGAGAGCCACTGTGGAGTCCAGATCTCTTCCTCCTCTTGTATTTTTTCCCTCTCGAGGGACTAACTGATGCTATTACATCATTTTCTTTGTGAATTAGCATTGGCCAAGCCCCTATTCACAAATCTTACCAAGACAGAGGAACTTACCTTTCGTCCCTCGGATAATGTGGATGCTCTCACCAGCACTGATTCTTGCCTGTACATCAGTGGATGTGTTTGTACCCGGAATCACAATATCTGGCAGTGGGAGAAGAAATAGAACAGCGTCTGTGAAACCACATGCCATGGGAAATGCACCACCAAACCCCTCTTTTTGCAGTGCATTACTCTCCTCTCTGTGCTGTGCTAGAAGCAAGCCCCACATTTAATTTTGAGCAGCACAGGAGGCAGCAGAGACTGAGGAAGCAAAAGCCATGCTGCTCTGGTACAGTATCTCCCTTGCCCCAACACAAACAGCTGGTGACTCCTGTCTGGAAGCAGTACTGCTGGCCCTCTCACGGAGCTCACTCCCAACAACCCACCAGGCACGTGTCCCTTAGACACCTGCAGGCAAAGTCCTCGCCATACAGGGGAGATGCTCAAACACAGAGCAGTGGTACCAGTTGCTCCAATGCCTGTCTGCCCACAGTCCTTGTGGTCATCAGCAACTCACCTTTCTCCTCAATTCAGTGTGGGCATCATAACCCCCTGTGAGCATCAGCAGTTCACTCCTGCTTCAGCAACTCACCTGTGGTGGTGACAATCTTCTGCACCAGGACGCCAGCTCGCTGTAGATAGTTGATGGGGAAGTTGACAGCAGGGTTGGAACTTGAGGTTGATCCTGCACTGCCCATGGGGACGTGACGGGGCATCATAGGAATGGGGGTAGATTGAACTGGGCGGACGCTTGCCACTGGCTTGTCCTCACCCTTGAGGGCTGGTCGCCTAGTGAGAGAGGAGGGAGGGAAGTGCAGTGCTCCCACCAACAGGGGTGAGCGTCCTCAGCCCCATCATTTCACATCTACAGAGCAGGAAGAAGGGGAAGATGCAGGTACTCACCAGTTCCTCTGGCTAAAGGCAGGGATGCTCGTCAGACTCTGGTCACTGGCTGGGTAATACTGTGCGTAGGACGGCCGGGTGTAGGGGACGGATGCTCGCTTTTCCTCCTCGTAGCTTTTCTTGGCTGCTTTCTTCTCTGCCTTGGTCAGCTTGTGCTCCTTCCGGTCAATCAGCAGTGACTCATGCTGAAAAGGCTCCTGAAACCCACGGCACAGAGGTTTTGACAGCAGCTCACCACAAGAGGGAACCAACACACCCCACAGCCACCCTGTCCCTGTGTCAGCACTGTTCCCATTCCAGGACTGGAGCGCTGAAGAAAGGATTTGGAGGCACAGCTGGTCACAGCACAGCCTATCTGGGGCCCTGCTGCAGAAGTGACCAAGGCACAGCTTGAGAAATGACCGAGAGTCAGCTAAGCCATCCTGTCTGCCACGTCTGGGCCATCGCTCACCACGTGGGTACGTAGCACAACCCTCAAGCTGAAGGCCAGGCTAGGAGCATAAAGCACAGAGCCTACTGTGATGTCCCACAGCCACCAGAGCCCCGTGGCACCGGGCCACAGGCCCACCCCGCAGCACCACCCTACCAGCAGGGTTCTCCTTAAGGGAGCCAAGTGCTGGCTTCTTCCAGCATTGTTTTAAAGCCACCCCAAGGAGAGAGCTGGCAGCAAGCCAGGATTTGCCACTGACACCTTCCTGGTACAGCACCATGTTGAAAAAAGAGGTGCCCTACAACCTGTCCCCAAACCTGTCCAGGGCAGAGGTGGCTCTAAATGCATAGAAGATACTGCAGGGAAGGGCAGGGCTCTTTGGTAAAAAAATCCTCTAGTGAGGGCCCTATTCCCACCAGCACACCGATGTGTCCTTCTTGCCACCAAGTCCCCATCACACAGCCAGATTCCTGCAGTCCTCCTCCTGTCTACACAGTGCTGTACAGGAAGGAAGCAAGTCGTTCTTACCTTGGTGATGAGGTGAGGATACTTGAGACAGGCTAATTGTAGAACCGACTCCTTCATCTTGCTTGGATTGAGGGAGAGCTGAGCAGGGTCGGATTCTTCTTCCACAAAATGCAGCAGGTTCTCTACCTCCCGTCGGGTAAAGTTCAGCACTGGGTTCAGATCATCCACCACCCGATCTGGAAAAGGAAAGAACAGGTCGAACTGAGAAGAGAAGAGGTGGATACTGCTGCCACAGGGCACATGGAGAAAACATCTATACCCAAGACTCTCCTGGGAGCCAGGCCAGCTGCCAGGAGACTCCACCTCAAGTGCAAGACGGCACACTGACTCAAATCATGCTGGGCTGCTGCCTCTGGAGCTGGGTTTTGAGACAAAGCAGGACACAGGCAGCAGAACCCTGTTTGGGTCACTACAACCCTCAGCTGCATACACCACAAGAGCAGCTTGACAGCTGGCACAAGCCAGCACAAAAGGTACTTTCGGAACAAGGGCAGGTCAGAACTGGAGTGAATTAATTATTTCTGTCTCCTAAGTAAGTACAGTCAAAGATATCAATGTGTATTTTTATTTGGCTTTTTTCCCCTCTGTTGATGCTGGAGAAATGGAGGTAAGGAGCTATTTAATAAGTAATGCCCAGTTTAAGACATGCTATGTCCAGACACGGGTGAAACAGCGTGACCACAGACCAAGTTCCCAGTCTCTTGTAACCAAGAAAATAGCAGGGAAAGTAAATGGCAATGCAGAGCACAACTGTGCTACAAGATCCTGTCTCTATAACCCTTACTTCTCTACCCCACGTTTCTTACGGGGTCTTGTGTCACTGTTGACTCAAACATCAAATGCAGCCCTAGGATAATGTACCTCTGACAACTTCTTTGGCTGTTTGGTTTTTAACCTTCAAAAAAAAAGTTATGAAAACCACAGAAATGGGACTTGAAGCCAAAAGGACGGAAAGGCAAGATCAGAGTGCCCACATGATGCCCACACACCTACCTGACATGCCCTGCTTGGAGATCTGACGGTCATAGATCTTCTTCTCAAGGGTATAATCAGACACCAGTCTGTAAATGTGGCACGGCTTCTTCTGCCCGTAGCGGTACACTCGGCACACAGCCTGGGCGTCGTGGCACGGGTTCCAAGAAGCATCAAACACCACCACTCTGTTTGCTCCAATGAGGTTGACACCCAAACACCCCGCACTGGAAATTAAAGGAAAATTTCAAATTGCTGCTTTGGCCAGTATTTAAAGCTTCTACGTAGGGACAGCCACTGCAGCTGTGCTGACACCACTGAGATTTCCCTCCAGTCATACAAGCAACTTCAGACCCATGCCTGGTTTCCAAGACTGTTGTTAACAGTTTGCAAAGAACTAAGGCTAACATCTTACACCCCTAGGGAATTCAGAAACAGATGGCACTATCATGCCAGAGGGTTCTGAAAGCAAGGTACAGAGGGATCTAAGAACAGAAAACCCATGCACACACAAAGGAGCAGTGTGAGCTCTCCATTGCACCCTCCTGCTCCAGCCAACTTACCGCGTGGACAAAAGGAAGAGCCACACAGAAGTGTTACTGGGGTCATTGAACTGGTTAATCAGTCGTTCCCTTTCTGAGGCAGAGGTGCTGCCATCCAGTCCTGAGAAGGAAATTAAGGACACATTTAAAAGCTCTGCCTGTCTGGGGGAATCCCATCAGAACAGACCCGCTTCCCAACCATTCAGCTTTGGCACTGTCTCCCAACCAATTCTGGGTCTTCCTCAAATCACGCACTCCAGGACCTCAGCTGACCCACTCTGTACCTCTTATTTGCCCAGTCTGGCGGGTGCAATGCAGCCAGTTTGGGCTTTCAACTGAAAGAACAAGCAAAACATTACTTAAGCTTGGCAATGCCAAGACTGGGAGTGCTACAGTGCACCTAGCACATCAAGGCTCTGTATTAGGCAAGGCAGATGGTAGGCAAGAACAGCAGGCACAACAGCCTCATATATGCTGGAAGCTCAAGGAATCAAGAGAAAGGAGATTGTGAAAGACTTTGGCAAAACCCTGTCAACCGGATCAGAGCACAGAGAACAACAGTCTAAAGGTTTGCAGAGGGGAGTGTCAAGTCTCTGTTCCTGAGCAGCAGCTTGTTTCTGGCAGCCCCGCAAAAACCAGGAACACCACATCCACCATTCCTCTCAGTCCTGGTCTGTAAAGTAGCCAACACGAAGTAACAACCCCTGCCAGAAAAAGATTTAAAGCTGGGGAAGAGGGAAGGAAGAATTTACAGCCTCAAGGTAGTGAAACCATTCCACAGTAATTCTGGTTTCGGAAGCAAGATCTAGAAAACAGATGAACAGGAAGCACAAAAGTATCTTTTACAGTTTTAAAAAGCACCAGTGTGTGAGTAGAGGTTAAAGGTGCCTAACATCTGAGCACGATGCCAAAAATGACTGAGAAATTATCATCTGGTTGTAACTGAACTGACATCATCTTCCTGAGCAAATTCCCAAGAACAGTCTGAAAAAGACTTCATCAGAAGAATGCTTCAGACGAGCATTTACACACCCAGGACAACTACAGGATGATGGTGGGATGCTTTCAGATATGAGTCCATCACAGAAGATCAGTGTCACACCAAAAGAGAGGGGGATTGGCTGCACTCACTGTAATAGTTGATGTTTCGGACCCAGTTGTGAACTCCTCCATCTGAGCCTGGAGGACTTGGCATTGGTCTCTTCGCCAAAAACTCTTCGATGACAGATAAAGTGGACAAGCTCTGGCTGTAAAACCAAGGACTCTGTTCAGGAGAAAGGCCCCAGCAGCAAAAGTGGAATATCAGAACTCTTCCCCAACCACACTAGCACTGATGGGGCCAAACCCTGGCTGTTGAAGCACACCTCTTGCTAGCGAGCTTTATAGTGGTAGAAGCATAAAATATGTGAAGGGAAAAAAGGGCCTAAAACAATAAAGGAGAAAAGGGGAACTGCTACACCATTCACCCTGTGTAAAAACCTGCTAGTACCAACAGGGATTCAACTACTTGAGCATTTAGTAGGATCAACCACTGGTACGTCGCTTACCTGAAGACCAAAATCTTGTCTCCAAGCTTCACACTTTCCTCAATGAGGTGGAACAGTAACACCATCTTGGGTGAGTTCTCCAAGACACCCGTCTGGTAATCACACAAGATGTCTTTGGCCTACCGAGAAACAGGAGACTATTACAGGTGGAGTTGCTCATTCCCTGTTTAGTTCAACAATCCTGTCTCAAGGTGAGAGAAATAAGTCATTGCAGTGAGGCTGTATTCATCCATCCAGTCAGGTTCAGGCGACAACATTATTTCCAACCACTTCCCATTCTAGAAGCTCCAAATGACAAGCTGCTTGAAGAATGGATGAGCAAGCATCCTCCTAACCTCTCATCGCTCTGCTCTATCTCCAGATCTCTCTATAAGAGTGTCACCTGCACTCCCGTCACACGGGTGTCACAAAATCCCCACCCAGCTCCATGCAAACACGCTGACCAAGATGCTCTGTGGCAGAGAAACTGGATGAGAAATATCCAGCTTTCAAATAGAAGTCTTGTCTTTACTCCAGAAAGCTGCCCTAACAAAAAGAGGTACAGTCTTTCAGAGTAATATCTAGCCTACGTGCACTGGAACTCAACAAACGAAGAGTTCTCCAGCAGTGGTACTCACCCACTCGTAAGTAACGACTTGATTTGCTCTCTCCTGAAAGGGGTTGAAGCCAACGCTCTGGAGGAACTTGCTGTTGGTAGCTTCTCCAACCGGTGATGCCAAAGCATTACTCTCTGTTTTGACTTTAATTCCCTGAGGCTGGCAGCGGGAATTACTACTTGCTGTGCCAAGGTCATCCACATCCAAGTCCTGCTCGTTTGCTAGATTCTCCTTTTGCAGAGCTTCATATAACACATCAGGATGGTTCCAGATCTGAAGAGGCAAGAAAAGGTAGCGCTTAGACCTGTGCTGGCCTGCCATCTGACAACGTTTGAGAACTGAAAGCTCCCACAGCAGTTCAGCTGGAAAAATTAATATTCTCATCACCATCCCTGCGTGGAACTGTAAGGCGCGATCAGACTGACTTTCTCTTCGTATTAAGGTAGTGAAGCATGATTCTGCCATGACACCAGGTATGGCCTCTGCCTTAACTAAGGCTCTCCTGACTTTAAAACCACCATATTCTTTCCCTAGAACAAAACAGAAGGCCACAGCGCACCCCTACACAGCACAAATGCAGAGGAAGCTGCTTGGTTCATGCTGTACCAGAGAAATGGACAAGGTACCAGTCTAGTACTGCTTCAGCTGACAGCTGCAGATTTTTTTTGCACAAATTTGAACAAAATGTTTAACATCTCCGCACCCCAGCGCTGTAAATGGAGAGAATTCTGTTGGAACACTGCAAGAAGCTCTGGGGAAAGAAGATGTATCTAGCCAACCACACTTCTCTCCTGTTTTAACTCATATTCCTGCTTTTTGACTCATCCTCCTGTCTTTCCCTTACATAGAAGGCTACTTCTTTGCAGCTCCTGCCAAAACCTACCTTACAACAGACACAGAAAGCTTTGAGAGGGTTCAGTCCCAGCCAGCCACTGTTGCCTGCATCGCGGAACCGGTTCATGAACTCCGTATAAAGGGCCCGCTGGATCTTTGACAGACGTACCAAAATGACATGTTCTTCCTTAGAGGGGAGTTGAACCTTCAGCACATTGTGACCTCGCCTGTGGAGGCGATAAAGAAAAATAAACAGAAGGAAGAGTTTCCCAATCTGGTATCTCTGTGGCTGCCTGCAGGGTAAGATTTTGACTTCTTGCCCACCTGTCTGCAGGAAGAAAGAGCTCTAGTTGCATGCCTCTCTAACACATGACACTCATGAGATACTCTCCCTGAAGCCATATACCAACAGTAAACACAATTACAGAGATCTCAAACGTTACAATCTTCCAGCACAGGTCACAGTGTTAGGAGAATGATGAAAGTCTTGTTTTCCATGGCAGTTGAAAAACAGAAATAAGATCTAAGGTCTCTTTCTAACTCTGCCAATGACTAAGGCACTCCATCCAAATCACTGGTCCAGCACCTCAGAACCCTTGACCAAGAAACAAAGCTGATTTGTCTCCAGGATGGCAGAAGCACTGTTACTTTTCATAACTGACAGTTCATGAAATACTTTCAGATCCTTGTATAAAGGATATCTAAGAGTGCCCATCTGAATTAACTATTAAGACACTGAAATAAACCTGAGGCCATTCTAGTACAGTTAGAGGTGCTGTTCTCCATTACATGAGTGTTCAGCACTATAACAAACTAACTTTACTTCTACCCCAAAGGCGAAACACAGCCACAAAGACCACTCTGCAGCCGACAAATTGAGAGAAACATGGAGCTGCTAACCTGAGAAGCTCTCTGCTTTTCTCTTTATGCTTAAGACCCTCCCACACAGACAGCTAATGTAACTGTTTAAAACTCAAGCCCAAGAAGGCAGCACAATTAGCTGTACTGCATAAACTCAGCAAACAAGCAGGTTGATTTGGGGTGAAGGAGCTGTTTTTGCATGGACTAGACTGCTAACAACTCCCTGTGGACTCACCGCTGCACAAAGCCCTCCAGCAGGCTATGCAGGACGTGGCTGCGATACCTCATGAGACGGACATCTTGAGGGGTGCTGTCAATACACTGCCCATTCAGGATGGGGCGCTCAAACATGTTGCTGAATTCCTGCCTCGAGCCTAGAAAGTCAGGCCGGACAAAGTCTACCATGCACCAGTACTCGATGAGGTTGTTCTGGAGTGGGTAGCCAGTCAGCACCACCCGCCGGCGGGAGCGGATGTTCTTCAAGGCCTGCGAAGTGCTGGCATGGCAGTTCTTTATTCGGTGTCCCTCATCACATATCACGACATCTGGGCCAGGGCGAGACAAAGCTTTCTCAATCCCTGAGGACAAGGAACATTAAAGCGTTAGTCTGAGATGAACAGGAGAAAGTTCTGGCTTTACATAGTCACCAACTTCACAAAAGGAAAAGGAGGGGCAGTTATCAAAGACGAAAAGCAGTATTCATGGGTGGCAGAGAGCAAGGCTGATTCAGGAAGCAACACCATCTCATATTTAGCATGATGTGGTCTTGATCAGACACGACTGGCCCTTGATTTCTGCTCCGTGGTCTACATTGCATCAAGTTGTGTGTCTTGTATCAGATCTGACTGGCAAACCTCACACAAACAAATCTCCAACTTCAAGATACTGACTTGCACTCTTACTCGCAGCCACCGCAAAAATGAAAGACTCAACTAGAGCTCAACAACCCGTCTCCAAAGATGCAATTCTACCCAGCAAAGCTTGGTCACATCAGCAATACTAAAAGTGATCAACCAATTCTTAGACTTGTTCTGATACTGAGGACCACGGCTTCTAGCCAAAAGTAGCTAAGAGACCTGAAAGCACTTGTATTACAGGCAGGAAGCAGGTGAGCACAAATATATCTACTGCAGTAAGTGTAGTCACTGGAGTCAGGATGCAGAAACTATTGCCAGTGGCTAAGACTGACTATTATTCACTCTACTAGTTCCCAGAAACAAGCAGTGATAGGTTGTTTCCGTGTGCTGCCACAGTTGGTAGCCTGCTAGACAACAGGAACTCCTCCCCCCAACTCCCCACCTTTCAGAAGCTCTTGCTGCCGGTCTTCCTCATCCAAGTCAATAATGACAGGGCCAGTTTGCTTCTTTGTTTTCTTCTTCCTGCCAGTGGCAAAGGACTTCTTCAGTGAGAGGAGACGGTACATCTCATATCCCATCAGCAGCACACCACCCTCTATCACCCAGTCATTCACCACCTTTGCACGTGCAGCTGTTGTTCTGAAAAAAAAATAAAAAAATAAATAATGAAATAAGCTGTAAGCTTTCTCTCCAGTTTCAGCTTGTACCACTGGACTGGAGCCTGCTGAAGAAAAGGTCATACACAGTTAAAGTACTATCTAGCATGAAATCAGACAGAAAAATACAATGAAACTGTATTCTCAATTGTATGTCTCAAGGACAACACAGCTTACAGAGAGTCACAGTGTTGGGTAGAAAAATCCTTAAAGCGTATGAAAAAAAATCTCAGAGGAAAAAAAGAAAAACATTTAAAATACAAGAGAAATATGGTATAAGGAGCACACGTGTCAGGAGTTCCAGGACTCTGATAGTGTTAGCAACGTACCACCAGAAAAACACAGCACTTCTGCTCATCTCTGCAGAAGCAGCTCTGTCTCTGGCAACTGGGTTTCTGATTTCAGCATATATGGAAGAATAGAAAGGTGAGTAAGCAGAGTGAGAAGGAAGTACAAGATATAAATGTTGCATGAAAGATACAGTAAATCTCTCCCAGGTACCAAAATTCTCCCCTCTAAACAGCATACACAGATGGAGAATGGGAAGGATCTGGGAGTTGATGGCACAGAATTAGCCCAAACTTAGCAGTCTGCAGCAGCAATTCCGGTAATGGTTCCTCAAGATGCAACCTAAATGTTCAAAAGGGCTTTTACTGGCACCTACTTGTGTTCATCATTCAGGATGTGGACTTTGAAGGTGCGGGGCTGGACCTCTTTGGAGTTGTAATCAGCAGGAAGGTTTTCAGGTGCTGGGAGCCACATGTTGAATTCTGCTAGCCAGTTTTGGAGCGTGTTCACCTGAAAAAGTTAGCGACGGAAGGACTGAAAACCCAATTGAGTTGCTCAGGATTTTAACAGCAGAAATAAGAGCGTGGAATGCCCCCCAGCTGTGCCCAGCCAAGAGCAGCAGACTACAACATGCATACTCAGGGAGACAGGGAATGAAACTGGGAAAAGAGCAGCAAGGGTATGACAGAGTGTGATGTGAGACAGGATACCAATCAATCTCTACACAAAGAAGGAAGTAGACCAAGGAAGGTGATCAGTCAGCCTTCCGCATGGGCTACTTACAGGTACAATGGCAAGAACAGTCTTTGCCTCTGTGTGCCGAAAAAGTACATCCAAGAAAGAGATGACCTGTATGGTCTTGCCCAGGCCCATGCTATGTGCTAAAATACACCCAAACCCACTGCTGGTTTTAAATCTCTCCAAGGACTCGACCAAGTTGTCATACAGGAATCGGATCCCACCAATCTAGAGAGAAAAGTAGAAAAAAGAATCAAAAATGTGGAAAAAATGAAATAGGTTTATATTTAGAGAGTGGCTAACATATTAGGATTGCATAACCACGAAAATATAAACGGGATGTTTCGAGTTCACTGCAGTATTTTAAGCTAGGGAAGGCTCCAAAAGATGCTATTTTTAGATTCTCATAAAACTTTCTGAGGATATGATACCAATAAATCTAACATTAATTTGGAGACAGAGAATCTGAATTGAGGTTGGTCAGTTTGTTTACAAATACAATTTGATTTAAAAAATGTTCATCTAAATATGCAAAGAAAACACTCCTGTCTGTTCCAGATTTCACTACACCATCCACCACAAGGGTACCCAGATAAGAAACTTCTTTGCTATCACAACAAACTCTAATAATTATAAAATATTTCACCTTTGAGAGCTGAAGGAATTTTGTTACAAGCGTGGCCAGAAACAAGCAAAGTATTTTTTTTTTTAATTGAATATGAGTATGGGCCCTTGAAATAAAAGCTAAGGGCTGTAATCAAATTACAACAATAGCCAAAGTTATACATAACCCAGGCCTTCCTTTAATTTCTTCTTATCATTTGACTGCCCACAACTGCAACTGCCACAACCAGACTGGTCACAGAAGTCACCAAAAGTTCTGCTGAGATTACAAAGCAGGCTTGGCCCAATTCCCTGCATTTCCAAGCCTAATGAAGCCTACCTGATGAGGTTTTACTGCATGTGCAAGCTGGGGAGCCAGGAAGATATCCTCCTCGTTTGGTGGATGGTTGATGTTGACAATGACCTGCCCCAAAGCATCGGACTGATTTAAGGCATCATTCACATGGGAGCCACTGCTCTCTTCGCTGCCATCTTCCTCCCCTTCATTGCCAGAGTCACTGCTGTCCACGATTTGGAGGGCATCATCCTCTCCCGAACTCAGCTCAATCACTTCTGTAACCAGAAAAGGAGAGAAAAAGGGGCAAAGCTTAACTGACAGCAGGGTTTATTGCATATGGAAAAAAAAACTGTAGCAGGAAAATACGGCTGCTGTGTTTTGCAATTCTATCCTGGCCTAATGAACAAGCAGGCAGAATACAGGCCCACGAGACGTCCCTTGGGCCAGCATATAAAAACTGGAGTTTCCCATTGTTTCAGAGAACACTAAGCACGAGGCAGTTTCTGTGCGTGTTTTACATTCTCTTCCACACATCCTCTTAATTCTCAAATCCAGACACGCATTATATCTGTCAATACACTGTCTTTAACAACTGCCAAAGAAATCAGAGTAGTGTAAAGCAGTCAGGTTAGATTTGTTCAGGACAAAGGACACAAAAACTGCTTTCAGTTGCAGATTTGAATACTCAGATGCTCCTTGCATATACACAGCAGACGATGCGACACCTCACGTAAGCACTCTTCAGCAGAGCACTAAGCAAAATGGAGTTTATTTATAAAACAGACAAACACAAGTTTGCTAAAGTGCCTGACGGGCCAGGCTAGAAATGCCAGTTTAGGACTCAAAGGCAAAAATTGGCCAAAAATCCAAAGTAATTCACGACTGGAACATTTGACTAGTTGAGCACAGTAGGTTTCTGCCTGAACAAGTAGCATGTTGTGAGAAGCCCGGGGTAAGACAGCCAGTCACTTACCATCTTTAATGTTATTTTTTCCTTTAGCATCATCTTCACTGCCACTGCTGGTACTATCGAGACAGATCACTTCCTCAGCAAGGACCTGAGGGGGGAGCTGGGTAGCTTCTGCTGTTCTGAAAACGATGTCTTCTACAAACACGACAATAAGTAATTCATAATAAGGGGGAAGGAGACAAAACTGCTCAGAAACCAGACAGTATTTCCTTCCACTTTTGCTCTAATAACTTAGCCCTGGAATTTTCCATAACAGACTCTCACTGTCTAAAACACTGCTATGACTCAGCTTCCTGGGTCACAATCGCTTTCTTTCTCAATATGCCTAAACAATAGCCCATTGCTGATGGCACCCTCTCCCTTGCATGCCCTGGCTGGGGCACGTTGACCAAACACATACTGAAGTCGTTCTGCCTCCCACCCCCCCTTTTTTTTTGTCGTCTCAGAAGTAAAAGCATTTCCTTTTTCTTCATTCCACTTCTGTTTTTCATCCAGCAGAGAAAGTACCAACTGCTGAAGGGATGGTAACTGTCCTTTGTTAGTAGAGACACTGTAAAAATTATATCCCACATATCATAAACAACTTTTGCTGATCAAGACCAGTTGTCTGCATATTTAAGTACTGCCAAGCAGGGAGAGAGGCGAGCTCAACAGGGCCAAATAAGAACCATGGCAGTGACTCAGCAAGCAACCACGTTCTTCTGGGGCTACAACCTACTCTCCAACAGTTAAAAGTATTTTAAATAGCTCCTGTTTCTTATTTTTTAATGCAAAATATTTTGAACTCTTACACTTAAAGGAGGTTACACATTTCCCGTGAGGTAAAGCCAACTCAGGAACTCCTAGACCACTGACATAACTTGCAATTGCACTCCTCTGCCCTCACACACCCATCTGAGAGGCTGAGGCATAAAATCATTGAAACTACCCAGGGCAGAAGGCAGCACAAGATGCCATACTGTGGAACTGCATCCTGACATACGGTTACTGAGGTCACTCCCATTGCGGGAAGAGAAGAGTGATGCTTAACTGTTTATGTTGCCTGCTGTCTCACTGCTTGTCAAAACATGAACAAAAGAATATGGCTATGTTATGAACATGAGTACAGCCAGTTTATTGTTCCACTGTCCCCAGCACCAGATCCATGTATTACCAGACTACCCTCAGAACAAACATGATCTGTATCAAGGATATGGCATCTCTGTCAAATTAGTTTAAGCTTCCACAGCAGCTGGAGAGATGAGAGAGACCCGTTCCAGCAAATACAAGGTCCTGCATCTGGGCTGGGGCAATCCCAAGCACAAGCACAGGCTGGGTGGAGAATGGATGAGAGCAGCCCTGAGGAGAAGGCCCTGGGGGTGCTGGTTGATGAGAAGCTCACCATGAGCCAGCAATGTGCACTTGCAGCCTAGAAAGCCAACCCCATCCTGGGCTGAGCCAAAAGCAGTGTGGCCAGCAGGGCAAGGGAGGGGATTGTGCCCCTCTGCTCTGCTCTCACGAGACCCCACCTGGAGCCTGCGCTCAGCTCTGGGCCCCCAGCACAAGAAGGACAGGGATGTATTAGAACAAGTCCAGAGGAGGCCGCAGAGATGATCAGAGGGCTGGAGCACCTCTCCTATGAAGACAGGCTGAGAGAGCTGGGGCTGTTCAGCCTGGAGAAGACCCTGGGCAGGCCTTGCAGTGGTCTTCCAGTGCCTAAAGGGGGCTACAGGAAAAGCTGGGGAGGCAAGTCATCAGGGGATTTAGTCATAGGATAAGGTGTAATGGCTTTAAACTAAAAGAGGGGAGTTTTAGGTTAGATATAAGGAAGAAATTCTTTACTTAGAGGGTGGTGAGGCCCTGGCACAGGCTGCCCAGAGAAGCTGTGGATACCCTACCCCTGGAAGTGTTCGAGGCCAGGCTGGATGGGGTTTTGGGCAGCCTGAGCCGATGGGAGGCATCCCTGCCCATCACAGGGGGGTTGGAATTAGATGGTCTTTAAGGTCCCTTCCAACCCAAACCATGCTGTGATTCCAGCATCCTGCTCACACACAATTAACTGGTCAAAATGTCTTCAGCAAAAGTTTCCTGGCACTTTCCACCGTACAGCCACACCATTTTGATGCAGAACAAGCTCAGAAGTGGAACTGGCTGCACTACTGAGCCACAAGTTGTTCCAAATGATCATTTCAAGAATTTACACTTGCGAGTGCAGCATTGGCAGGCTACCTCCTTCTTCAATCAGCTCCTACCCTTAAAAATGTTGCTTCAGGTGGCATTTCCCACTGCTTACCAGGAAGAAACTCTAGGGGTACGGTTGGGATAGTGGCTGGGTAATCCTTCCGCTGCTGCTCTAGCCGCTTTCTTCTCTCCAACTCTTCCTGCTGGGCTGCTTTTGTCACGGCTTCGAGTTGGTCCTCACGCAACAGCTTTCTGAATGCACAATCAAACAGAGAAATACGTCTTGGTTACACTTACAGTCCTTCAAAATAACACCCACCAAAACAACAAAAAAACTTGAAGGGCTGTACAGCTGGCTTAAAAGATGACTGACAAGCTCCAGGTAATTTGTCAGCTACAGAGACTATGAACATCATATAGCCAAAAGCTACAGACAAATTTCACATCTTTTTCAAGACTGTGCTTCCCAGCTACGGGCATCACTACTACCGTTCAAGGAAAAGACACAAGTTTGACAAGGAAAATAATGAAAGGAAGAAAAAAGTGCATGGATAAGTATATATTTGAGTTAGGTTACTAGAGACTAGTTCTATCTGGCAGGATGTTATTTATTGCCATTGAGTTTATAAATAGAAAAGGCACAAAGTCATGCAAAGAAGACATGTGAGGAGAAAAGAGCTAAGCCCAGAGAAGCTGTGGATGCCCCTTCCCTGGAGGTGTTCAAAGCCAGGTTGGGTGAGGCCCTGAGCAACCTGATCTAGTGGCTGGTGTCCCTGCCCATGCTAGGGGGGCTGGAACTCGATGGTCTTTAAGGTCCCTTCCAGCCCGAGCCGTTCTATGATTCTGTGAAAAAGCATCAGTTCCCCCCCCGAGTCCTCACCCTGATTTTCATCTGCCTCAGTGTTTTCAGGAACTAGGACCTCTCATAGCTTTAGCACAATTCTTTCAAAGGCTGTTCTCAAAGCAACTTACTTTCACAGGTCATTTCCATACTTCTGAAAGTTGCTTTTCCTTTTTTTCACTGTTTCAGATTTGCAGCCCTGGAAATGAAGGCCCTTTTGCCAGAAGAGAGGCACAATACAAGCAGTGGTAAAACCTAGCTCCCTCAAGCCAGCCTTTCAATCCAGCCAAGCCTACACTGAAGGGACAATCTCCTCCATCCTAACAACGTCTCGGACCCCAAGGCTTACTCAACGCTCACTCCTCCAACTTCAAGAAAGTCCATCAAGTGCCCAAGCTGAAATATGAGCCAAAGACTACCAGTGCCTTACATACCATGAAAATGAGCCGCTTGCTGCCTCAAGAGTCCCTGCTCTAAGCCTTTTAGATCTTCTTGAACAAACTTTCATGGTGAATTACTACCTTAGGAGCCGTCCCAAAATGTATGTGGTGACTTGCACAATCAATTTCTCAAAATTCAGAAGGAATTAATTTCCAGCAATTCATTTGCCAGCCACAGCACGAGCATTCCTGGGAACAAGTACCCAGGACAGAGGAAAGGGCTGTATTTTAGGCTCTCTGCAATACGATCCTCACCAGCAGAGAGCACATACACACATCTGAAACTCGCTATTTACTTAAGACATCTAACTGAAAAATTGCACCATCGTTATTAAACAGCAGCAAATACACATTTTTTGAAACATATTCCATAACCAAATAATTTACCCTTCTGAAAATACCAAACAAGTCTGCACCCACATGCAGCACTCCAGACTGAGAACAGACTACTCCCACTGGTGAGATCCAAAGGTTTTGGAAAAGAAAAGCCATCTGCTTTGCCAAGAGCAGCAAAATGTAGCTTAGAAGAAAAGCCTACAGGCTCTCTTTCTACCCAAAAGACTACAGAGCACCCCACTGCTTGCTGTCCTGATGCTTACCTTATGTTCCTCCGCATGTGAGAGGGTTTCTGAGCCCTCTTCTTTTTGGTGTCCTCAGAGGCCAGGCTCTTGTGCTGGTTCTGCAAGAGTTGCTCTGCCCGCTCACTCTGAGATGAGGTAGTTGAAGTCGAGCGCTGCCATTCTCCATCCTCCGCCTGCTCAACATGGTCACTGCTGAACACGGCTTCTTGGGGTTGGTCTGCAAAGACAAGGAGGTCACAAGGTGAGGAGAACTGTCAGCTGCCTTCTACATGAGCATCCATCAGGATTTAAGCTGAATGGGAACCCAGTTGGGTCAAAACCAGGGTCCCTTCTGTGTCAGAGTGTCAGTAAGTTCTGCACCGAAGGATCTGTTTCCAGCAAAAGCCAAGACTACACTAACAGCCCAAAAGTGTCCTTACAAGAAAACTGGGCAAGATTAATTAGTCCACGCAGAGCACTTGCTGGCCTAAGTGCCCATTATTTTCTTTCAGGGACCAGATAAGCTCCCACTGAAAAAACAGAAGACAAAGCAACTCGGACCTCTTTCTTTGTTTCCCAACATTTAGGTGGGGCAGAAATTTCCATTAATACGGCACCTCTGGGACCATCTTCCAAGCTAACAGAACCCAGCATTCAAGGGGTTATCTGGTTCAAGCCCTGGGTCACAGCCCAGCAGGCAGTTCAAAGCTTTTACCACCATACTCCACTCTCAGGATTTAAATGTTACCTTCTGGCGAGCTTTTTTAAAAAAGTGACAATTCTCATTCTGTTTTATAAAGCACACTTCTTTTTCCCTGACTTCTCCTATTTTCAGGCTTGCATTAACAGTTGACTTCAGTCTTACAGCGCCATGTGAAATGACACCTTGTTCTGTGTGCCACTTCAACAGGCTGCCAGTGACCAAGCTAATGCTTGCAGAGCACAGAAATGTTTCTGTTTGAAAGCTTCCCTTGAAGTAAACTGTTTCTGACAATCCTCGTAATGGCTCCTTTGAAGCATCTTGTCCCCTTGTGTCTGACAGAGAACCTTGTCTCACAGGCAGCGTTCTTGCTCGCAGTACGTCTGTGAGCTAATGACTGAAATGAAATGACACTTGGACAGAACTTTGAAGAAAAAAGGGAAAGAAGACATCAGCGCAGAAAAATGCAGCAGAGGAAGAAGTAATGCTGAACCAACAAGCTCCGTATTGTGATGCCGTGGGATCCAGAGACAAAAACTATCCCTTCTGCAAGAGGCGAGAGCTGAAGTGAAGGATGCTCCTGCAAAGTGCTCTGCAGGCACCTCTACAGCCCCCCAGAAACGTGCCTGTTCGAATGAACCTTACCACTAACATCACCTCTTGAATTTGTGGTGACAAGAACGAGATCCACCGTGGTCAAAAAGCACCAGCTTGGCAGCTCCCTCTCCACACGTCCCACGGGCCCTGCCCCAGCGCTGGCTCGGCACCCGCTCAGAGCCCAGCTGGGACGTCTGGGCTCGCCTCTCCCTGGGCCAAAGCCAGCAGGAGCAGCTCAAATGTTTCTGTGAGCATTGGTACCAGCAAGTCCTCCGCGTGCTAGGAAAGCAGGGAGCCACAGCTTTCCTGAGGACACAGAGCTCACGATGAGAGGAGACAAGTTGTGTTGGGTGTGAAGATGGGAGGCAGAGGCATCGCAGCCCCAGCCAGGGCAGCTCTCCTACCGCCGCTGTCTTGGGACCCTCCTGGAGGCAGCAGCTCAGGCACCGAGCACCACGCTCCCCCTCAGGCCGTGCTGGGAACAAACCCAGTTTCCGAGGCTTCCCAGACAAGAGCTGTGCTATGTGAGCTGCAGACACCCTGTGGTCATATCACCTGCAATTCCTCAGCGTCCTTTCCTTCCCCCCCCTCCATCCCTTCTGCCTTGCGGTTATGCAACCAGATCAAAAGATCGGACGAAATAGGGCAAAGGGAAGCAGGGAGGCTGTGCACATGATCGCATTCTCCGGGATGAGTCATTAAACCAGCGACAGTCCCAGAGACAACCGCTGCCACGGTCACACTGCTGCCACCTCCCCCAGGCCCGGGGGCCCTTGCCGAGGCAGGGGGAGCACCAAGGCGGCTTTGGCTGGGAGACGGAGGCTCCCCACGCCCTGGCAGTTGCCCCCATCACCTCCTCTGGCAGCGACTGCCACCCGTGCCATGCACAAAGGGTGTTTTCGGGACAGGGGCGATGCCAGCAAACCCCAGGGGCTCGGCAGCCCAGAGGCAAGGCCACTGCGTGCCTCCTCCGTATGTTGTCGTGTCTGTCAGCCGAACTCTGCACGCACCCATCCCACCTCTGCATTTCACCTTCTTTCCTCTTATTCACTTGCAATACAGACTCTGGTCAGCGTACACACAGCTGGACCTGGCTTTTTGTTTTATTTGTTTTGTTTTTACAAGGTAATTCTCAACCAAAGCCTAAAATCTGGTGCCAAACCTGTGTCGCCCTGGGTGCAGACCCTCACTCACCGCAGCCCTGCAAAGGCAAGTCCTGGGGCGGGGGGCACACAGCCACATTCAGCCCCGTTCCCAGCACGTGGGCATTTGGGCACCGAGATCTCTTCTTCACCAGCAACACCCCTGAACGTCCTGCAGTGAGCTTCAGCACAGCTGGGACCCACAACAGCACAGAACCATGTTCAGAAACCACAGCTGCTCCCAAACTGCTGTACGAGGAACAGGTTTGCTCTTCGGGATGGATGGAGCATGGGAATGGCCTCGCTGAGCAGGTCTCATCAGGTGATCGAGTGGAGTAATTCCTGCCCCAGCTCTGCCAAGCCTCCCTCTACAACAGGGATGCAATTAGGGTTTTGTAACAGGAGCTCAACGCGCTACTCGGACGTGGCTACACGGGTAGCTTCCTGCACAGTGCTACAACTCACCGGCCGTGCTTGCACACTGACTTTCTGCAAGGGAAGAGTTGTGACAGCTCCGTGCACCTCCTCCTTGCATAATATTTTCAGGTTTCATGTAAAAGAGCATGGCACCAGCCTGCAGGATAGTTCCCACATCTTTGGGTCAGCGCCGACTTGCTCCCACCACACACCGCCTGCTCTGCAAGGGGGCTCGGGTCACTGCCAAGCGTCCTGGAGCATCAGGTACCTTTTTTTACAATCCTGGGAAGGCACACCACTGCGAACCAGCCCCTTGTTTGACTTTAAAATCATTTTATTACAGGAATTCACGGTACTTTAGTACCGTGAAAATAGCACTGCATTGCTGAGCCTTAGTTCCTACCCTGAGGACAGGGCTGTGCATGCGTGGCGAGGCCGGAGGCTGCGTGCAGAGCAGAGGGAGGTCAATGCTTGCTCTGGGAGCAGTCTGCTGTCCACGTGAAGAGCAAGGAGCAGTTGTACGCTGGTGCAGGCATTCTAGGAACTGACTGAGCACTGCTGCAGCCGGCACTGAGCATGAATGGGAGGAGTACTGAGGGATGGGACACGACAGCCTCGCTGCACAGCTGCAGCTTGCAGTCGCTGACACACTGAACTACGGCAGTGCCAAGGGCCACAGGGGTGGCTCCACGGAGCCAGCCTGACTGCAAAGGCACTGCCGTGCTGGGAGATGTCTCTGGGGTTAGCTGGTGTTTTCCCCGTGCACTGGGCACTGGAGGGGAGTGGAGGTGATGCCGGTGCTCGGCTGCAGCACAGCAGTCACCTCGGAGGCCGGCAGCAGTGTCCTGGCTCATCCCGTACTCAGCTGAAGCGGAAAATAAATGAAGAGTTTTCAGGATATTCTCTGTATGTAACCAGCACGGCTGCTGTGCGGGTGCCACGCAAGAAGGGAGGAGAGGTGGCTGCACAGAGCACCTCTCGCAGAGGCAGCACGATGGAAACGCTTCCAGGACGCTGGCTGGAAGCAGGAAACTCCTTGTGAAACACTTCTTGTGAAACCGCTCAAGGACAGTGCAGGGGAGAGCAGGGGGGAAGCCCAGGCTGCCTTCCTTCAGGCCCTACCTGCTGTAACACCCACTGGAGCCAAAAAAAAAAGCCCTCCTGGGGCCCAGCACACACCAACACCCACTCCCTTCCTCCTGAAGCCCCAGGAAAGCCGCCCCTCAGCAGGACACAGCTCTGCAGGAGGCTCAGGGCTGTGCCACCTCCTGCAGCCGCTCTCGGGGCAGCTAATTAGCAGCAAGACTTTGTTCTCCCGGGGAAAATAATTGCGCTCAGTCTTCGGCAGCGGCAGGACGCCCCTCCCAGCCACAACTGCTTAACAAAGCACTAATTATGTAAGCATTATATAAGCCGGCACACCTACCCCCCCCTGCGCCAGCAGCACCCGCTCGGCCCCTCCAGCTGAACGCCCCTCGGTCCTCTCCCAGCGAGCGGACCGAGAGCCAGCACCCAGCCTCTGGGCTGCACCAGTTTGGTGCGTGCTGTGCTGGTCTGGGTGCCACCCGGGGCTGTGTTCCTCTTACCAGGGCTGAGGATGCGGGGAGATGCTGGTCCCCATGGGGCAGGCAGCCCGCAGCCCCGCTCTGGCCCCTTTGGACTGCAGGGAACCGCTGCTGGGGAGGGGTGGGCTTGCTCCCACCACCACCCTCTGTGGCTGGCTGTGATGTTGGCGTCCTGCTGAGTCACTGCTGCACGGCTCCATGGACACGAGTGGAGCTTTGTGCCTGGCCCCAGTGCTGCTCCGCTCACAGAAGTGTCCCCTGCCACCGCACGTCAGCTCCTCCTGGGGCTGGGGCTGAGCCGCCTGGGGTCTGTCGCTTGTTCCCGTCGCTACCTAGGCACAGACTGTCACGTTGGTACAACAAGCAGCACTGTTGCAAGCTCAAATAGCACATCTTGCACTGCTCTGGGTGTCTGTAACGTGCTCGGAGCTGGGGGTTCGGGAACTCCATCCGCACGCTGCAGGGCAGAGGCTGCCTCGAACCCCAGCCCAGGACTGGGGGATAGAGGGGAAGGTGCAAAATGAGCTCTGAAGCAAACACCAGCACAGAAAACAAAGAGGGAGCCCGACCAGAAAGCACACAGACCCCAAACACATCCTTAAGCTCCTTTTAGGCAGGGAGTAGCCCCAGTCAATACAAAAATTTAAAAGACAAGGCAGCGCTGCCCCTCTTTTTTTTTTTTTTTTTTTCCCCTTTTGGTGGCCTTTCAGTGTATCCATTTACAGCAAGCTCGTGCTGCAGAATGAAACTCCTTTCCCAGCCCGAGGGAATCCTCGGCCAGCAAAAGTGAAGAGCAGGGGAAAGAAAGAAGCAACCCGAAAACCAAAGGGAGAGAAACCAGCTGAGAAGCGCTGAGAGGCGGAATGGAACCTCCCGCAGCCGGCCCTGGTGACAGACAATCTATCTTCTGACTCCCGGGTTATGCAAGCAGAACCAGGCCCCAGACACCCAGCAGCTCTCGTTCCGGCCGCATACGCCGAGCCCCGGGTTACATAAACCCCGAGCAGCACTTACACAACGCCGGCTGCCCCAGCCCGGCACCGCGGGGCAAAGGCTGCCAGCGGCCCCGGAGCTCTGCGCGCCCCTGGCCAGCTCTGCTGAGCTCCCAGGAGGGATGCGGGGTTTCAGGGGGATGTGGGATTTCGGAGGGATGCTCTCCTAGGGTTGGAGAAATGCAGGGCATCTCCTGCCTCGCATCCCTCTCCCCGGTAGGTAATCGGAATTACTTTTCCCCAATAAAAGTCCTCGAGCCTAAAACGCCGCCTCCTCGGGAGCCCTCCCTCTCTCAGGCATTAGGCAGGGCAGGGAAACAAAGCCAACAAATGCTCCCAGTAAGGCAGCAAGTGAAGCAGGGATGGGTTACATTTGTCCTTTGCACGACGGGGGGTGTATGGGAGAGCAACTGAGTTACATAAATCTACCGCACGGGAGCCAGGAAGTGTCTCAGGCTCCAGTGCTGGAAAGCGTTCAACAAGCTGCGTGAAGGAGCGAGCTGAAACCTCCCCGTGCTGCTTATCCCAGTTAACCAGTAACCCAGGGCACAGATCTGCCAGCCAGGTTAAAAAATAAATAAATACAATCAATAACCAGAGACATCTAGGCAGCAAGAAACTGGATTTACCCCTCAGACCTTACTTGTTTTCAGAACAGTTCAAAACTTCTTCAAAAAACAGAATAAAACTTTTTTTTTTTCCCCTGTGAAGGTGGACAGACACCGATTTAGGTAACAAAGCTAATTTCTCCCCCACACTCACATTCAGAAAACAGATGCAAACCGGGGGCTTGCCAAGCTCCCAGCACAGTGGCTGGGGCCAGCTGCTCCCAGTACCCTTCTTAGGCACACATTTCTGGGACTAAGGAAAGAGGACGAGCAAGGGAGCGAGCGCTCTGCATTATGCAACGCTTACATAAGCATTAGTTTACTCTAGGTAGCTGGGAGTTGTGGTATTAGCTTTATACCAGGATACCCTCAAAGCAAGGAGAAATAAGAGAGGGGATTACTGCTGCCACACGCTCCCAAGGCCACCAAAATGGCAAACAAGCACCGAGCACGAGCTGCCAAACTTTCATCTTCGCCCCAAGGCCTCGCCACAGCTTCATTCAGGAGCTGGGAAGAGGGAGGGGAGAGAAGACACCCGGCCCGTGCTCATAACTTACAGGAGCTGTGTGAGACATCACCCCAGCACAACGCAGCCCCTCGTGTCAGCGCACCGCTTTGTTCTTGCTCACGGTAATGTTGTACAGGAGGGGAGGCTCCCAAAAACTCCGACCTGGTGCTGGCACTCCGCCTCGGGGCAGGGAGGTCACAACCAGGACGTGCTCCACACACCGACCTCTCAACCAGCAGCAGGGCTGTTTTGCAGAGAGGGAAACTACGGCAAAGAACTGGGGTAGACAGCAGTGCTGAGCAGCTCCCGAGCTGTCGGCTCCCTCGTCTGTGCTCTGTCCTCTCCTGAAATAGAATTTCCTACTCGGGAAACAAAACAAACTTGTCTATTGCTTGGAGAACCGTAGCAGCGCAGGACTTGAGCTGCGTTGGCCTTTGCTGCTTCAGTTCCTAAAAATTCCCCCGAAATTGCTTTGAGGGCTTTGTTTAATGAGGGAGGCATCACTTGGGAGAAAAATGCAATTTGTTGAGTTGGAGCCTGTGTGGCACCGCATTCCACTGGCACCTCTCCCGCCAAGCGCAGCCAAAAAAAGTGACCGAGAGCACTGGAGAAAGCTAATAAGCCCAGGGTGAAACACCACCAGCAAAGAACGAGCTGTTTCTATCTAGCTTTTCTTTTCAAAACACCGGCGCTGCTTTGTGCGCTGCCCCAGCAGTTTGCCAAAGAGCTGCCAAGTTGCTCAGGGCCAGCAGACCTTCATGAATCCAGGGCGCAGTGTCACAAGGGCACCCCCATCCAAAGCAGGCAACACCCCAAAAAGCTAAGCTCATTACTCCCTGGAAAAAAAAAAATAAGGCAACAGGCAGCAGTTCCTTGGTAAATTTGCTGAGATTACAGCCAAACAACCCACAGGTGCCCTGCTCTGAACACCCCAGCAGTGTCCTGGCCCCCAGGGGGAGAACTCCTGACCAGTGCAACGCTGTGTGAGGATGAGCTCATTCGCATCTCGGGCTCTGATGTCTGTCCAAATGACCCCAAATAGCTTTCCATACAAAAAAAATATCGGAAGGCCTCTAGCTGGGCGTTCTCCCTCCACCTACGTGACCTACAGCCCCATTTCCAGCAGCACCTGCCCCTCCTGTCCTCTTTATGCCTGTTACCTGCTGGGTCACATGCACCATATGTATCACCCAGATTCCTCGTTTACCCACACATTTGGCAGTGCGGTTCCTCTTCCCTCAGTTCACACTCTCCCAGAGTTACTTTCTTTGTCCTGCCACCACAACCAGAGATAAGGAAGTGAGAAAAGGGGATTTTTGCCAGAATTCACCTCTCCACCAATGGACAACAAACACTGCATGGCTTACATCTACCCTGTAATAAACTGGAACTGCTGGGGACCACTTCTGAGCAGCCTACGGCCTCATAGCATGAGCTTTGGAGGTAGCAGCCCCACAAGCAAGGCTGAAGAGCTCGGCTTCTGCAGGTAGCTGACCTCCAAGGAACAAGGTAAGCGACAAGTACGGGAAGTTCTTCAAGTCCAAAGAAAGTTTCTTCTCCAACACACAGCAACCAACCAAAGAGGCAGCCATCCCCACACCATGGCTGGGGTTTGACCAGCATCTTCTGTTTAATGGGAGGGCAGAAAAAAAAGAGCCAAGTGGCTCCCGGTCTATTTGGCACCGAGGAGGTGCTGTGGAAGGAGCACCCAGAGCTCTGCCTAGCGCCTGGTCAGCGGCTCAGCGAGCACTTCACTGGCACCAGAGGAGCATAGGATCTTACAGCTCTTCTCAAGGGAGCTGCTGGGGAAAACAGGCACAGGGAGTTGAAGGGATGCAGATATAAAACACTGGATATAAAATGTTACTGATATTAACAACTACCTCCCCTCTTGCTAAAAACTCATGCGTTACAATATGACAGCAGCAAAAACAGTAACAGACAGACCCAGGGCATCACAACACTGAAGTCTTCACAATTGAAAGCACAAAGAAAGTAAGTTTCTTTCTTGTATCCCCTCCTTAAAATCAGTAAGCACTGCAAGACCCTGAAAATTCACCCATTGCCATCACAGCGTGGTGGTTAGGAAACGAAAACCTGAGCCCCAGCTCCTGGGGAGCTCTGCCAGCCATCCCGTGGGGTGCTCCAGCGCAGGGGGGTGGCACAAGGAACCCCGCAGGGAAGCAGGAGCGATGAAGAAGCAGAAGGAGAATGAAACACCTGCGTCCTACCTGGGAACTGCTGGGACTCATCCAGGAGTAACATGCTGCTCTGGGCACCGCCTTCTGCCCGCACCTCTGTCCCAGCGCTTGTTCAACGTGGCCGTGTGCTCCCGGCCCTCCCGGTATATTCCGGGCTCAGGGTCTGGAGGAAAAGTTTCCAGTGGCTCCCAACAAGTCGGTATCTCTGCCCTCAGCCTGGTGAGCGCTAAACCTGCCCTCGCCGGCCACTCAGCTCGCAGGCAGGAAATGCCTCCTGAGAAAACAGTCCTGGATCCTTAAGGTTTCCGAAAATACCTTTGGTGAGGAGCTCCCGGTGCGCAAACCCACTCAGCCGGCGCGCTGGCAATCGGCGTGCACCTATCTGCCCCGAACTCGGCGGAGACGGAGCAGGGTCACCGTTACATAACTGGTTAAATACGCCTCGTGTTGGGTCTAAATAAAAAACTGCTCTGCCCTCCCTGGAGGAGGCAAACGCCACAGCCCTGCCCCAGGTGGCTGCTGCTCCACCAGGGACTGGCAGTGCCCGGCGTGGCTCCGGGAGGCGATGCCGCAGCACCCTCAGTGCGCCCAGGGAGCGGGGCGCAGAGGGGAGGGCGCGCGCGGGGGACGCCTGGCTCCTCTCCCCCGGCTGGAGCGGCGGAGCTGCGCGCCGTCGGGATCGGGTCCCATTCATGCAGCCCGCCAGCCAGCTCAACTAGTGGCAGGGAGCGAGGCTGAGAATAAAATGAAACTCCTTACATAACCAGCCAGGCTCCGGCGGGGCCCCGCGCAAGGGGAATCCCAACAGACAACAGGACGGCCGGGGATGGCCGCCGCGCCTCCAGGCTTCACCGTGCCGCCCAAAGGAAAAGGAGCACGGCCTTCTGGCTTTGGGAACAACCTGAGGATCTGCGGGTTTGCGAACTGTCTGCACGAAGCCTGCCAGCTCGCAAGAAACCGGGACAGCTGAGCCCGAAACCTGAGTGGTTTGAACTTGTTTGCGCAATAATAAGCAAAAGAGCATCGCATCCGTGGGCTCCTACATCAGCGACTGCTGCGTGCCTGCAGGAGGCTCTGAGCACAGCACGAGGACTCCAGGTGACATCTCTAAGTCTTTAAGGAAATAAGTGTGTGGAATTTGTGGAGCACAAACTTATTCGGAGCTTCCTGCCCACCACCTGCCTGCACCAGAAGGCCAGGAACAGGAGGAAAGGAGCGCTTAGAGCTGGGGTTGAGCCCCTAAGGGCTGGAGGTGCCCCTAAGGGCTGGAGGTCCTGCCTGGCCTCCTTCAGCACCGCAGGGACTTTGTCCTTACCTGCCACCCCTCAACAGGGGGACCCCATTAGTAACAGACAGCAAACCTGGGCTGAGGGGCACGCAGCGAGAGCAGCTGGGTCTCTGCGAGCATCTCTCTGCAGACGAAGGCAGCTCTTTGCTTGGAAGAGGCAACAAGCTGGAGGGGGAGAAAACGAGCACGGGCACAACCAGCCCCAAGCTGCTGTGTGCAGGCGGCCCTGGCGCAGCCCCGTGGAGCTGCGGGATGGAGCAGAGCGATGTGCAGCACTCCTGCCGGCCACTGACAGCCGGCACGGCTCTTACAAGGACTGTGTTCATCAAGGGGCGAGAGAGGGACGAATATATTAAAAGTACGCAGCCAAGGACCTCACAGCAGGCCTTATAAGGGCTCGGGAGGGTTGGAACAAGCCACCAAGCGTGACCTCAGCATCTGACCTAGCAGATTTCTGAAACTGGGAAGCAAGATTTAAAGACAAGCACTTGTGTCAATACAGCTGGGTGCTTTCCAAGGCTTGTTACAGCAGCCAAGCACGAGGAAAATGGAAGTTGATCGCATCAGAGACAACACACACCTGACCTTTTCCACAGAGGAATAAAAAGTCACTTTCCTTTACCTTAGGGTGCAAACCAGAGAGGGACTGTGCTGCTCACAGCAGCCTTACTGGTGAGGCCACCACTGTCACCACCACAGGTACATGCTCACACAGCCACAGTCTGGGTCTGCCAGAAACGGTCCGTTTATAAAAACGGTCTCCTCCTGGAAGGTGAGCCTGTTATTGCTAAGCCCATTCACTGAACAGCATTTCTGTGAGACCAGGAGGAACGAGCTCCCTCCCCGACACTATCCCAAATGCAGGCGAGTTCTTGGTGAGGCACAGGGACTGCACCAGGGGCTTGTCAGCAAACCCGTACAGCTTGAGAGGTTCCCAAGTCAGCGACGCAGCACACTCCCCTGCTTCAATCACTCTAAAATTTGTATTTTCCATAGAACACCAAGATAAAGACACTTCCGAGCATGGCTCTTATCCACCTGACAAGCCAACAGCAGCACCCCTGAGCACTAGAAAATCATGAGAATGCTGTGAATGCTTTTTGGAGAACCCCCATGACAAAACATGCCCTGCTTCAGCCTCAGCACCCAGACACTCCAGGGCTGTTTAACTGTACTGAATTTCAATGTACTGAAGCAAAACAGCTGTTAAAATAGTCACATATTATCAGAGCCGGGGGATTTATATCAGATATTTATCAACAGGTTAGTCAGAAAGTCCACTGAGCTACAATCCCAGCACGTGTATTTTTCAGTTATATCCTTCAAGAAGCTGTTTTGAATCTCCTCCTACAGCTTGCTACGTTGCTGCTGCCACCACGAGGTATTTGTGCATTGCGAAAGGGTGATTTTGTACAACTTTAACTCTGTTCCGGTTTCACTTAAGTGCAAAGCTGACAAACACAAGCTAAAAGTACACAAGTGTCACTCAAAGAGTGCTTTTAATAGTTCAAGTACTTAAATTACAGAATTTGTTTGGACGGAATTAAACTAGAAATTGCTGTTCACCTAGCCCCAAAAGAGTTTTATCTTGCAGCCTTCTCCTGTCTCATTCCTGTCTTCATATTAGCAAGTGAAAATAATGTCTTTGTATTCTTTTTTTTTTCCCAGACTTACTCAGTAAGCTGCATGCTGAAGAAAACACGAATAAGATGTTTTCAACATCTGCAGCACAAACTGCTGCTGTTAGAAACAGGTAGCGCATCAAAATAAAATTTGAGGTGTTAACTTGGGTATAAAAATACGTGTTGTATCAAAAACTTTGATCTAAATGATGCACTCTGGTTCATCACTCATAAAAGTTCATTTCTGCAGTTTTCTATAAAGCCTAGCGCAACAATTTAAAGTACCAAATTAAGCAAGTAACCGATGTGGTGCTGTGTTTCAGAGGCTGAAGAACAGCTGTAAATTAACTAAAACAGTTCCCAAATCTGCTGCTGCTTGGCCACAAATACTCTATTTTTACAGCAGCCAGTTACATGCATTTTATTTAACCAGTCACCAAACCAGCACAATGCCAAATAAATTAAGAAAAAATGAAAATGAGCCCTTGCATAGCTTAAACTCAAATTCAGAACAGAAGTGTTCTGAACAGTTCTGCCTGGTACATCTGAAAATAAAAGGAGGCACTGCATGAAACTGTAAAGCAGAGAATTGTGACTTTGGCTTCACCACAGCTTCATCAGGCAACCTTGGCAAAGCAACTTTGCCACTCCTTACCTGTTCAGGAGGGAAAACACCACCTTACAAATTCACTAATTAGCTTCCTTGTGATTTCATTATGGTTTCGCAAGCTGCCGGTGGAATACTGTAGCTGTTAGCAATGACTAGGTGGGGCACAGAGCTGAAAACAGCACGGGGAAGAAGGGATAAAACCTGCCCAGTGAGCCTGACTGTCCTCTGTCAGAGATTCCCGGGCTCCTTTGCGATAAAGAGAAATTTATCTTTAAAAGGCAGGTTTCTGGCCTGGGACAAATCCATACACACACTGCAGAGCCACAGCCACAGGCTTTTTTCTTTAGCCACCCAGAAGGATTTCGGGGTTGTATCGTGACATATGTGATAGGTTGAAGGGGAGGAGGAAGGAGAGGGGGGAAGAAAGCGTGGCGAGCCGTAACAGCGCATCACCTCGGGAGCTCGGCCATCGCTGTGCCAGCCAGCGGGTGTGAGAGCAGCAGAGCTCCGGCGTCATCGCCTCCTTTTAAAGCAGCTGAGCGAGTCGTTTCTGGAGTTACACAACAAACACTTCCACGCCACCAGACTTCGTGCCACGCTCTCAGGAAAGGAAGCTGCTGTTGGAGCCTGGGAGGGAGGCAGGCAGTCGGGGACATTTTGGCACTTCCCTGGCTTCGGATGAATGGAGGAGATAGGGAAAGGGTTGGGGCTTTTGGGCAGCACGAGGCTGGGCAGCTGAGACACTGTCAGTCTGCAATGCCCCGCAGTGCAGCAGCAGCGCTCAGCATCCTTCCTCCTGCAACCACACCTCGCCCGAGGTGGGTAACACGGGATCGGGATAAAACGCCCTGTGCCCCAGACAGCCCCCGACACAACCCCACGTTCCTTCTGAAGGACAGACCATGCCGCATAAAACCCACAGGCAAAGCATGCAGCCTGCTGTAACAAAGAGTTCCAGAGAAATCGGGGGAGCTTTTGCCCATTCAGGAGTGGCAAACCTTCCTCCTGCAAGTTCAGCATCTTTCTGTGTTACTTACCAAGGGGCAATACCCAGCCTCCTTTTGCTTTTGCTACTAATTTTGTATTTTATTCAGCAGGACTGCGGACACAGAGGACAGCCAGCCCCTACCTTTCTGGCTCTTAGGAAATCAACATAGCTCTGAAGTTTCAGATTTGCAGAGGCACAGAATGGATGTCTAACAGACACAAAGCTACTGCAGATGCTCCTGCCCTTTCCAGGGAGTGAGAAAGCATTAAAAATAACCACAGCTTCTTAGCTACAGCAACCCACCTCAGAAATGCATTACATACCTGCAGTTAAATGCAAGTTGGCTGCCTTGAGGTTATCCCACAGCCTACACCCTTACAGTGAAACCTTTAAGTGTTCTGATCCGTAAGGATTGTTGTTATCAGACACTACATGAGAATTCCCCAAGGTTTAGACGCAGACCAATATGCAAGATTAATTCATAAGCAAATTTTTCTGTATGCAGTGATTATTTCTGCACCTCTACAAAATCACACATCCCATCCTGCCTGCACTCAACTATTAGCTTGGAAGGCAGTCTACAACACAGTCACTACCAGCATAAAAGTCTTCCTGCTCATTCAAAACCAGCAGAGTGCACAGCGGTACAGGGAAGTTCAGGTTTGGTTTCCCAGGCTTGCAGTAGCCCTGAGCTTTGTAGAGGCAGCCAACTTGCTGCTGAGGTTTGCTTCCCTCAGCGTGCAGCCTGCTGGCTTCCTCAGAAATAACGTGGGAGGACTCTAGAGGGAGCTGCATCCAGACACAAGTAACTGAAATAAGAGTCAAGATAAAGTCCATCAGAAGGAAAAAAAAACAAAACAAAACAGGAAGATGTCAGTCACTGCTCCCACATCCCCAATCCATCTTGCATTCTGCACCTGGGAATGTGCAGGTTAAATCACAGGATTATTACTTACTGGCACCCATCACTGGCATACATACAACCAGTACAGCCAGGTTTAAGTTTAAAAAAATTCTTTTTAGTAAGAATCATCGCCAGTGCTTTTTTCGAGGTAACTCCTGACTTTGTTTGCTCCCCCTTATCCTCCCCACAAGCCTTTTTGCGGGCTCCCCAACTTGCAGTCCCCGAGCAGAGCTGCCTTTCCATGCCGAGCTCGCACCAACAGGTCCATGCCTTCCCTTTCCCCTGCCACCAGCTGCTGGCTAAACAGCAAG